AGAATAGCTAAGACTTCTTCGCTACAATAAATAGGAAAGCTAGAAGTCAGCAGAGCAACGTCCTCAAAATTCTGAAGGGGAGAGTCATTTCCAAGCTAGAATTCCACACCCAGTCAAACCATCAAGAGCAGAATAAAGTAATTTTCAGTCATGCAAACTCTAAAAATGTTGCCTCCAACATAATACTTTCTCAGGATACTGGAAAATGTTTCACCAAAACGAGGGAATAAAATAAAGAAAAGGGAAGAAATGAAATCCAAGAATCCTTATATGACAAAAAGTTTTACAAGAAATGAAGTGTAATAATAATTAGTACCTGCTTCAGTTAGCTCATTAAAATGTAAACATTACTGATTCAATGTGAAAATTTCCTAAAAATAGAGGGAGAAGGGGAGAGGGGAATATGTGAGTGAAAGTTACTTTTTGTGCATGTATGTTTCTGGAGGAGGGGAGATTAGAGGTGGTAAAAGCTCTAAACTCTCATCTTCCATAGGAGGGGTCTTCAAAAAGTTCATGGAAAGGTTCATATTATCTTTTATTTTTCCATGAGCTTTTTGGAATATCCTCTTAGGAGAATTAATAGGTGATCTCTGAAATGTAAGATATGGCAATATGAACATGTCAGTTAAAAATATGGAGACAAAATTTCAACTGCTAAAAACCCAAAAGTAGCTGCCTCTGAGGAAGGAGAAGCACAGAGAACTTGGAAATTGCTGTTTTTCATCAACTACGTGGTTCCATATAATTTTTAAAGCCATTAATATTCATTACTTTCATAAAAATAAAAATAACATTAAATAAAAATATCATTAAAGAGATGAAGTAGATAGACACAAAGTTTTTAGAATGTATTTGACCAAAAAAAAAAAAAAGAGTTGCCTAACAATATCAATAGTATCATGTCTGTGTTTTTTAAAAGTCTACAACACACAGATACTCACACATATAATACTGTAAGTTCATACAGAAAGGTCTAGAAGGACACTGAAACACTGAAGGGAGAATGGGACTAGTAATGGGGAAGGAATGGTAGCAATGGGGGCCTTTCATTGTTTTCTATACGCACTTCTGTACGGTTGACATTTTTATAACAAAGATATTTGTAAAGAATTTTTAATGACAGGTAAATGTGCATGATATAGTGCTATAAGAAAAAGCAGCTATAGAGGTATAATTTGGTATAATTCCCACTGTATGTTTTTAAAAATGTAGCTTCTAAACTTTAAAAATAAAAGAACACTTTTGTCTTAAAATATTACCCAACCACCAATTTAAGCAGTTGAAATTAACCTGCTCTGAATAAAGCAGGAGCAGAGACCCAGTGTTCTGGTCAGTCAGCCATCTGTCTCCCTCAGACCCTGCAGGGGAATCAAAGCAATCTCGGGGCTCCAGGCAGCACAATTTGAAAACTATTACTATCATAAAAAGGAAGGAAAGAAAAAAGGGGATTATGAGTGACGTTTCTTTCATTTTTGTATGATGCACTTACGCGCAACATTTTTCTATGATTTGGAACAGTTTAAGTAATAATAATCTGTTCCTTGAACATGCCTATACAACCACCTAAACCTGATATATCTGTAGGGGCAAGGGTGGAGATGAAAAAGAACATTATTAATCTCTTCAATTTATTACTCTATATTCATACTGCCTATTTCTTAGGTCAACTTTGATCATTGATATTTTCTAGAAAATTTTCTACTTTCATAATTTTCAATTTTATGGAGTAAGTTTGAAATTTCTTTTACTTATTATTTATTTCTTTTATTTATTATTCTTTTCAAAAGTTCAATTTTTTTTTTCTTTTCCCTTTTTCGTGACCAGCAACGGATCGCATCCCTCAGTGTCGCACCCGTACCAGACCGGGACCGGCAACGGGATCGCAACCCTCGGTGTCGCGCCCACACCTCGCTCAGCCAGTGAGTGACTGGTCTGTACGTGGGATCTGAACCCTCGGCGGGAGCGCCGCCGCGCTCCCAAGCAGCGCACTGCAGCAGTGCGCCACCGGGCCGGCCCAAAAAGTTCAATTTTTTAAAGTCTTACTTTTTCATTTTACTTGAAAAACATTTCCTAATAAATTAAATTATAATTTCTTTTTCTAGTTTTGGTTTTCTTATTGCTATTCTTTTCCTAGCTCCTTGAATTCAAAGTAAAGTTCATTATTTTTTCAAAACTATGAATTTTCCCATGTGTGGTTTTGGCCATATCCCCTATGTATTTGTTGTTTAGTATTCTCACTGTGATTAGTTTCTAAATAATACTCAATTTCAATTTTTTATATTCTTTGACCCAACTGCTATTACAAATAGGTAAATATTTTTAAAATCTTTATTAATTTCTATTTCTATTTTAGTGCAATAAAAGACAGTGACCTATAAGAGTTTGACTTTTCCTTTTTGAAATTTTCAGTGTGATCTAGTACATGATCAATTTAGACAAATGTTCCATGGCATATGAAAATAATCCTTCAATAGCCTTTTGCTGTTTGTCCGGGGTATACCCCTGGTTCTGCTCTTCCTGCAGGACTTCCCCAGTGTTTTGGGGTTTCCTCCATTGTCTATACTTAATTGATTGGCAAGAGCCAGTGATCTTCCCCATTATATTACAAAAATCCCCCAATTTTCTGGTTTGTGGTGGCTCCTTCTGCCATTATGGGGACATTTTTCTCCTTAATTTGTCACTTCTTTTATCATTTCAATGGAATTTTTTGAGATGAAAGGTAAAAATCATGGGCTCAAAATATACCAGTATGTGAGAGTTCAGCCTCAAGAATCAGAAAGATCAATGTTTGAATTCTGATTCTACCACTTCTTTGCTGTAGAACCTTAAATATGTTACTTAAATTTTCAGGGCTTCTATTTCCTCATATGAAATAAGAATAATGATGGTAGTTACCACCTAAGCTTGTTAAGAGTGGTAAATAAGCAAAGGGAGAGATACAGCTGAATACATCATTTGACAATCAGTAGTTCTCAAACACCAGCTAATGTTGCTGAAATGAGAACTTTGGTCTTAACTTTTTAATACTTAATGTCAAACAAAAAGGAAGTGACATTTTCCTTAGCCTGATCATATACATAATAAGCTTTATGTGTATGCTTTACAATCCCAACTTATTACGACTATTACCTAATCACAATACCACAGCTTAACTTCATCAATTACGTTTGATTACTTGACATTTGTAATCTGTCTGCTCTATAGACAACACTTAGAAGAATTTCCTTTCTGTGAATCTACAGTAAGTGGTATATAGAAAAATATACCACTAATTCTAGTACTTTAAAAAAGTAATCAAGTATATATCCCAAAGAACTGAAATCAGGAACTCAAACAGATATTTGTACACCAATGTTCAAAGCAGTGTTATTTTATTTTTTTTTCCTTTTTGTCTTTTTTCGTGTCCGGCAACGGATCGCAACCCTCAGTGTCGCACCCGTACCGGACCGGGACCGGCAACGGGATCGCAACCCTTGGTGTTGCGCCGCACCTCGCTCAGCCAGTGAACGGGAACCGGTCTGTATGTGGGATCCGAACCCTCGGCGGGAGCGCCGCCGCGCTCCCAAGCGGCGCACTGTAGCAGTGCGCCACCAGGCCGGCCCAAAGCAGTGTTATTTACAATAGCCAAAATATGAAACAATCCAAGCATCCATTGATGGATAAACAGATAAGCAAAATGTAGTGTGTATATATACATATATATACACACAGTGAAATACTTTTCAGCCTTAAAAAGGAAAGATATTCTGACACATGTTACACCACGGATAAACTTTGAAGGTGTTATGTTGAATGAAATAAGCCAGACAGAAAAGGACAGATATTGTATGATTCCATTTATATGAAGTACCTAGAGTAGTCAAATTCATAGAGACATAAAGTGGAATGATGGTTGCCAGGGGCTGTGGGGAGAATGAAATAGGGAGTCATTGTTTAACGAGTACAGAGCTTTAGTTTTGCAAGATAAAAAGAGTTCTGGAGATTGCACAACAATATGAATGTACTTAAACTACTAAACTGTATACTTAAAAATGGTTAAGATGATAAATTTTAATTTTACATACATTTAACTACAATTTAAAAAAAGTAATCAAGTGTCTCAGTGATAGCTATTCTATATCTGATTCTACATAGTACTATTTAAAAGCATAGTAAAACACTGTGAAAATGTGTCATAAGGCTAGATTAGACATGTCACTCAGCTTGTTTGGTGGGCAAACACTAACCTTCTGCTCTCTTACACTCTAGTTCACTGCTCCTAAGTCCTTACAAGGTGGAGATGGGGGTCCTCACACTTTACCCACACATACTTTATTTTATTCTCAGAAAAGTGAATATAAGGGCCGGCCCCTGGCTCACTTGGGAGAGCGTGGTGCTGACAACACCAAGTCAAGGGTTAAGATCCCCTTGCCGGTCATCTTTTTAAAAAAAGTGAGTATAAAAGTGTAAGAAGTAGATGTGTAATTCCACTTGAGTAAATCTCTAATAAAGAAACCACTATATGGAAAATTCTTTATATAGAATAGAAACATTTGATTTATAATAGCAGAAATGAGAAACAATCTAAATATACAACAGCAAGAGAATGGCTAGTAAACTGCATAGCAAATGGAATACTATGTACTCAACACAGCTGATTCTATGCATGAAAATGAAAAAGATGCTCATGTAATAGGTGATTTTAACTATGTAAAAAATACATTCTAGAAAGACTGAAATGAGAAATTAACATGTTAATAGGTAATTACCTTTGAGAAGTATGAATACTGATCCCTCCTTTTCTTTATAGTTTCTATACTTTGCGAATATTCTATTTGTTTTTGCTTTTACAATGAATTTTGCTTTTTATATTTGTTTTGTTTTTATAACATATTCCTTTTTAAAATTATGGTTATGATTTTTATAATTATATTTTTAAACATATCCTGTTATTTAAAAAAAATAAATAAATAGAAAACAGAGAGGAATAAAACTTTAACTTTTTCTTCCCAAGTACTTACATTCTCCGGTATGCTGGGAAGTTCTCTGGTATCAGGCACAGTAAAATAAGAATGCTGGAAAAGAAAAACCAAAGCTATTTATTTTTGCAAAAATGTGTAATAAGCACATTACGCAGAATTCAAGTGAATGATCAGAAGGTATTTCCTTACTCAGATGAGGAAACAGTTTCACTCATAGGAAATATCAATGGAATATTTTCTTTGGATAATGTTGAATTAAACCATATGCATTAAATCATTAGTTCAGTAGATGGAGTTCTTTTCTACAAAAGATGAACATCTTTAGGAAATATAAACGAAGAGTTCAAAGGGGTTAAAGGCTAAATTCCCAACGAAATTTGCATGTTTCTGAACACATGAAAGCTGTTGGTTTTATAATTTATCATTCAACAAGGCAAGTGGACCCTGGGGACCAAATATTACTAGATTCACTAAATGATGGTTTTTACCAACCAAACCCGCCATTTCATGTCAGCATCTGAGATTACATTCATCTACAAACTGCTGCCAAAATTTGCCTGGAAGGCCCAAGCGATGTTAAGGACAGCTCCAACTATAAGTACTCATGTGCTAAGACCACTGCCGATAGCGAACAGTGGAGAAACAGTCCACAAAGCACACTCTGTGAATAAGCCTCCTGACTTCCAGTGGGATCTCCAGAGAAGGGAACTAGAGACTCAGTGGAGTTGAAAATCGACCTCTTCAAAGAATTTTCAGTGAGGCATCTCCATGTATGTAACAAGCATGTGTCTCTGAGTTAAATGACAACACGATGAACTGATGACACCTCCTCTGCTACTGTTAAAAGACTCAGAGGACAATGGCAAGCAGGAATGGGAAAAGCCTTGTGATGGCCAATTAAGGATGGGATTGTGCAAAGGCCAGGAAAGGTCATATGCAGAGAAGGTCAGCTTAGCCATGGCCTAAGTTCAAACCTGGACCCCCAAGTGACACTTCAGGAAGTTCCCCTCCCTCCCTCACCTCTGTCCTTATTCTTGGGTAAATGCAATATAAGTAGATCTTTAGAAGAAAGAGTTGTATAGGCTTTCTGAAATGAAAGGCCCTTGGGACAATTGTAATAATGACAATAACAACAATAATAGTATAAGCTACTTGTCTAATAGTCAACAGATAATTAATGAACACCTGTTGTATGGAAGGCTTTATGTCAGATATTTGTAAACATTATCTCTAATTTTCATAAAAAATTTTATGATAGATATCTCCATATTACAAATGGGTAAATTAATGTTCAGAGAGGTAAAGTAGTCAGTCTAAGGTTACACAGCTAGTAGATGGCAGAACTAGGACTGAAACCAGGTCTGTATTACTAGAGCTATGCTCTTTCCCCTATAAAAGACTGTTATACTTGTGTTTTTTATGTGCAAATCATAGCTAAAGGAACTTGAATAAATTAAAAAGTAAAAACAAAAAAATTATTAAAAAGATAATTTAAAAACCTTCTGCAATATATTATTTCGATATCTATGTGTCTAAGCTAAAATGTTACCCATGAAATATTACCATAGAGATGGTGTAACATGGAAAATGTTACATGAACTAGTAAACAATTAATGAGGATTAAAATAGAAAAAGTAAAATACAAGGTTCAAAGTTGACTCCATGAGATATTTCTACACCAATGGCTAGAAGGGAGTTTCAGAAAATCTTCAGTAAGGGATGTCCATCTGGTGATGGTGTGGCACAGAGAGAAAGTCAGCCACTGAATAGCTATGTGAGCTTAGGCAACTTCACTTAATAGTACAGAAACCCAGTTTTTGAATTTGTAATTGGGAATCATAATATCTACTTCAAACCTGTTGTGAAGAATAAGTGTTATATATATGAAGTGTCTAGCATTCAATAAATGGTATTTTGACGTAAAATTATTATTACTCTCAACTGCTAGTTTACATTTCTATTTTTCTCAAACACCTATATGAGACACATAAAAATATCCTCTTGATCGCCATTTTATCAACATTTCAGGATTTATAATCTGGATGAGACTAGCCCTTCGAAATCGGAAATGCAATATAAAGAGAGGAGTTCCTAGTGAACAGGAAAGAAAAAATATCTGCCTTTACAGATGCAATGGATTGCAAATAGTGAGCCAAGGCAAATCCAAAACCAAGTAGTCTCTAGGCTGTCCTTTGAGATTCTGTCTTGCTCCATCGCCCATGAAATGCTGAGGACCAGGAGAGGTCAGAAACATTCCTAGAAACCACTGGCATGAAACAGCTGCACCACCCCAACAGTTCCTCCTGCCCCTGAGATGGCTTGTCCTTGAGGCCTGGCAGGCACTGCTGCCTGTGCAGCCATTTGGGGGAAAAAGTGGCCCTTCCTCCCCAGCAGCTGCTGACCCAGCCAGGCTACTCCACAGCTACCTGTCGGATGTCATTACAGTCTGAAGCGGCAAGATCAAGCTGCTTAGGAAAAAGGACAGAGACAAAGGCAGGATTGCTTAACTATACAGCAAAGACTGAAGTAGGTTTAAAGCTCATTTGTTTATCTTTTCCAGACAGTCCCCCTCCCTTATGAGAATTTTTGTATCAAGGTTTCTTTCCTTCCTATGCTCTAATAAAATGAGCAAAAATTTCTGTAAATTTGTTCACTCATTGCTCCCTTCCTCCCTCCCTTCTCCTTCCTCTTCCTTCCCTCGTCTCAACACACATGGCGGAGTGGGAAGAACACAGGCTTTGGATTTAGCCCTGGGTTTGAAAACCCAAATCTTATCAATTATTAGCCACAAGACTTTGGATGGGCAAGTACCCTTTCCTCTCTAAACCTCATCTATGAAATGGGAATGTTAATATCTATTTTGTAGAGTTGTTTTGCACATTAGAGATAAATATTTAGTATAAATTAGGAACTTAATAAAATGGTAGATCTATTATTAATTATTAAAGTAATATTTCTTTCAATTTTATCATTTTGAAAAAAACTATAAGAAATATTAATTTTCTTTAGAAGGGCAAACAGCTTTCTAGTCACTGAATACCAACATTATACATAGTTCTAATGAAGCTGAAAGAAAAAATTTTTAAAACTTTTAGGCCCCATGACATAGGGAAAATAGCTCTTTGATAATAATCAATACCTGGGCAAGGGGGTGTCCATCTGAGATTTCTGATGAAAGTAGTGACAAGGGTTTGACGTAGGGGATTAGATAAGTCCAGTAACTGAAATATAGAAAAGATCCCCTCCACCTGTTCTGATGCCTATGTGACAAATGATGGGGGTGTCCATCTGAGATTTCTGATGAAAGTAGTGACAAGGGTTTGACGTAGGGGATTAGAGAAGTCCAGTAACTGAAATATAGAAAAGATCCCCTCCACCTGTTCTGATGCCTATGTGACAAATGATGAAATTGAGGCCCACAAGTTGAAGGTCTTGATTATGGCCCCTCAGGTCATTGGCAAAAAGACAACTAGGGTGAAAATCTCCCATTTGATAGTTCAGAGGATTTTCCACACTAGCACGCTGCAGAACACGTAATATATATTTAAAAGCATTCAAAGAAATGATCATTATTGTAGGCCATTAGCCATGCTAAGCACTCCCTTTCTATCCAGGGACACACAATTCCAGTGAGGGAAACAGGAAAACAGACCATTCCGATATGGTATAAGTAAGTACTGCAAAGTATACAAGATGCTTGGGGCAAAGGAGAGAACCTGAGCTAAGCCTGTGAGGTATCAATGGAGGATTTCTCTGGAAATAAAATCAGAGTTGAGTTGTGTAGGATAAGTATGGGTTACTGTGGCAAACAGTGGAAAGGTAACACTGAAGGCTGAGGGTTCAGCATGGGTTTCGGCAAAGGGGGGCACAGGGAGCCCAAGACAAAGCTGAAGAGGCAGGCAGGGGGCAGCTATCCTACCCCAGCCCAGCATCTACATTCCAGGCTGTGCTGGTGATGGGATGATAGAGAGGAGCCTGGGGACATTTGGGACCTGTCCATTCCTCATGGAATCTCAGAGAAAGGAAGAAGTTCAGCTCCTTGGCCTGCCCTGAGCCCAGAGGTCTCAGAGTATTTAGAATAGGGTGAGGGAGGTGCAGATGACAAAAGACAATCCTGTTCAGCTAACTCCCTCTNACCCCAGCCCAGCATCTACATTCCAGGCTGTGCTGGTGATGGGATGATAGAGAGGAGCCTGAGGACATTTGGGACCTGTCCATTCCTCATGGAATCTCAGAGAAAGGAAGAAGTTCAGCTCCTTGGCCTGCCCTGAGCCCAGAGGTCTCAGAGTATTTGAGTACTGCAAAGTATACAAGATGCTTGGGGCAAAGGAGAGAACCTGAGCTAAGCCTGTGAGGTATCAATGGAGGATTTCTCTGGAAATAAAATCAGAGTTGAGTTGTGTAGGATAAGTATGGGTTACTGTGGCAAACAGTGGAAAGGTAACACTGAAGGCTGAGGGTTCAGCATGGGTTTCGGCAAAGGGGGGCACAGGGAGCCCAAGACAAAGCTGAAGAGGCAGGCAGGGGGCAGCTATCCTACCCCAGCCCAGCATCTACATTCCAGGCTGTGCTGGTGATGGGATGATAGAGAGGAGCCTGGGGACATTTGGGACCTGTCCATTCCTCATGGAATCTCAGAGAAAGGAAGAAGTTCAGCTCCTTGGCCTGCCCTGAGCCCAGAGGTCTCAGAGTATTTGGAATAGGGTGAGGGAGGTGCAGATGACAAAAGACAATCCTGTTCAGCTAACTCCCTCTTACTGTTAATAATGAAATGGTCTCTCAGTGATGGCTAATATTCTGCCCCACTTACCACGCTGAGATGAACAGACACTCCTGGGTCAGGGATTGGAAGTTTGTACAGAGTTTCAAGAAGCTCAATCCACTGATTTTCCTGAAAGAAATAAAAGGTCTAAGTAACAAAAGCAAGGCTGAGCCCTCAGTAAGATACCTGCGGGGAGGTCTGGGCACACAGTGAGCTAGGTGCCCTCATGACTGAGGGGGCTGGGGAGATGCCAGCCCCAGTACAGAAATAGTTGTGATATTCAAGTAGGGTGGGACAAAAGACACTGCGTATGGCTCAAACATAAAAGCCAAATAGATCCTCCCACACGAAGTTTGACATTTTCTACTCAGTGAGACACCTACCATGACCGCCTTTTATGGATCTTATACCATAAGCTCCCAGCAAATCTATCCCCTCAACTCCATAGCAACAACGTTTAAATGCAAACAATCCTAGCTTACAGGCTGGGGGTGGTTGGGAGAAATAACGATGACACTATAGATGTTGTCTTCATCATCATTACCCTCAATTAATTTTATTGAGTGTTCACTGGGAACACAAGGCAGCTTCCAAATATGGAAAGTTAGAAATGAACTAAAGTACAACAGCATGCAATATAGGATGATGGCTGTGCATTTTAATTAGTGAAAATAAGCAGCAGGATGAGATACGAAGCAGTACAAATTATTCGACTGAAAACAAATTCACCTTTAAAATGCTCAAAAGAACACTGCTCACAGAATTAATCTGAAAGCCATTTCTCCCATCCTGTGGAATTCTTTGTACAAATAGAATAGTAATTAGTTTACACTTGTATCCATTTGCTATTTATTTGATCCTCCCTACTACCCACTTTACAGATGTGAAAACTGAGGCACAAAAAGGTGAAGCAGCTTGTCTCAAATAAGCCAGTTAGTAACTTGCACAGCCAGGGGTGAAACACAGGCTCGCTGTGTTCAAGCCTAGAGCCCTCCCCACTTCACCACAGCTGTCTGTGATAGTGAATTTGAGGACAGGGGGCAAAAAAATGATGAGCCCAGACTACAAGCTTGTTTCAATCTGAATTCTCACAGAGGAGAGAGACGAACGTACGGGTGTGTGTGTGCATGTTAGTTTTGCCCTGAAACAATATCGAACTTACAGAACACTTGTAGAAACAGTGCAAAAACCTGTTTTTATTTCCTGAGTCATTTGAGAATGAGTTGCTGACATTATGCCCCATCATCCATGGATACAAACAAGGACATTCTCCTACATAACCACATTGAATCATCATAATCAGGAAACTAACATTGATGCAGCATTACCATCTACTCTTCAGACCCTGTCACGTTTTGCCAACTGTGCCAATAATATCCTTGACAGCAAACAATCCAGTTCAGAATGACAGGTCGCCTTTAGTAGTTATGACCACCTAGTCTTCTTCAGTCTGGAACAGCTCCTCAGTCTTTCCTACATTTATAGGACCATCACACTGGGAACACCCATTTTGTGGAATGACTCTCAATTGTCTGTTTCCTCATGATTCAGATTTCAACTTGTCCCTTTATTGCTGATGTTTGCTTTTATTATTTAATCGATTCATCTGATGTCTCCACTGTGGGGTTATGCTTTCCATTTGTATTTAGTAAGTATTTTTTGGAGTGATACTTTGTGTAAATATCCCATTCCTCAAACTTTCAATGTATGCATTTACTTATGTTACTATGGGCACATGTTTTCTACTTCATTCAGCGTGTTATAATGCTTTGCTGTCATTATTATTTTTGTTACTATGGGCACATGTTTTCTACTTCATTCAGCGTGTTATAATGCTTTGCTGTCATTATTTTTTTTTTCTCAGCGGGAGCGCCGCCGCATTCCAAAGCGGCACACTCTCCAGTGCGCCACCGGGCCGGCCCCATTATTTGTTTTGATATTCAGACTGTTCCACATATGGCCAGTGGGAGCCCCTTGCCCCTTCGAGTTTGCTTTTGTGTCTTTCTGACATTTCCCCATCATGTTTTGAGCAATTCCTCACTTTTTGGCACAAAAAGCATTTCAGGCTCATCTTACACTTTCCCTGCCCCAGCCCTGGAATCAGCCCTTTCTTCAAGGAGCCCTGGTTCCTTTTAGTGGGGAATGGTATTTAGAAAACAAGATCTGGGCATCAGGTGTGCTCATTGCTACTTGGTATCGCCAATGCCAGGTCTTTTCAGGGGATAGAGACAGGGAACATACCACACACACACAGACCCACAAGACACACTTCCATCTCTATTTCTTTACCTATCTTCACATATTGAAAGCCATGGGTTCACACCAACGGATCCAATTCCAGTCCAACATAGGAATCATTCTAGTTTCCTCCCTAGTCATATTTGTGACTACATTCCACAAAAGTGAAAAACCTTGCCCCTGTTTTCTTAACATGCTTACTTGTTTGGATGGAACCACTCTTCTACTGTTACCCCTGCCTCTTTCCCCACCCAGTTGCCCTCCCTGTCCTCCTTGAATGCTGACATCCAGGGCTGGGCCTCCAGTGTCCACGCCTCACACAAAAGCCCACCCCCTGCCCCGGCTCCAACACCCCAGTGCTGGGGCCACTGCTGCTGCACCCCTTCCCTGGGTATCCCTCTAGAATGTTGGGTTCCAACACTGCATGCCGAGCTGGTGCCACTGTTCTTCCACATAAACACCCTCTCCATCTCCTTCAGGCTCCAACACCCTGAGCCAGGCTGCTCCCCGGCTCAGATGCCCTCCTCTTCCCTGCCATCCCTTCCACATGGTGAGAGTTTCATGACCAGGTGCTCTTGTACATTGCTAGTAAAGGACATCCTTACAGAAAACAGCATAATTCTTTTGGAAAGCAGTTTGGCAAATGTTTTAAAAAGACATTTCTGCTGACCATATGATAGCCTGTCTGGCATTTTCCCTTAAGGAAACAATCTAAAATAAAGAAAATGCTTGATGCTCAAAGATGTTAATGACAGTACTTCTTATAATAATGAAAAAATCCCAAATAAAAATTCTAATAGGGAAATATTTCAGTAAATCAAGGTACGTGATACAATGTTATACAGCCATAGGAAAAATTTACAACATTTTTAATACCATCTCTGAGTAGCTCCCAGGCTTCTCACCTCACACCCACCCTTCCCAGGAAAGCTTCTGTTATAATGGTACCTGAAAATGTGGGCTATAAAAGTCTAAATACAGCTGAAATTTATTTTGACAATCATGGAAGATAACTTAGCATATCATTTCTTCTAAAAGTACAGTAAAGTACAGCTGCATGCTTAAAGTTATTTTCAGATCCTTACAAAAATTACTGTATATGCACCACAAAGCCTTATTGAAATGGGAACTTAGGACGGCTGGGTAAGTCACTTGCGAGTTAAATGTTTTACTTGCAAAACCCAGATTTGCAATATGATGTGAGCAATTCAAATTTGAGCCTTGGCAAAATTATAATTTAATACATGTCCTGAACTTTCAGGGCTGCTTGGGAATATTAGAAACTGTGAATATTAACTCTTTGAATGCTAAAGGTCTATTTACTATTTCTTTAACAAACAAACAAAAATTAAGGAAGAAAACCACCCAAAAGGCTAGCAACACTTATTTTAGGGAAGGGGTAGGGGCAAGTTATGAGTGATTTTTTTTTCCTTCCTAGTATTTTCTGAATTTCCCAAAATGTCTGTAATGGGCATGCATTACCTTTTTGGTAAGTGTTTTGGTGAAACATAAGGCATGTGTCACTTTTATAATCATAAAAATGTAACTAAAGTTTACTTATTAAAAAGAATTATAAAAAAAAGGTAAATACCTGTCTTTTTGTCGTGTAATCTGCCAAGATGTTAAGTAGTTTATAAAAAACCTCGAACCAGGGGAGATAGCTGGGGGAAGAAGAGGAAACACATGAAACATTAGTATGCAGGTCAAAAACTTTAACCAGGACCTAATTCAAGACTGATACATTTCATTTTTTTTCTACATCCTGAAGAGTCTTCCTGCATAGACTGTGCTGGAAACAGACTGGTGAAATGCTAATTATTTCTGGGATTTAAAAAAATTGCCTGTGTGAGGCAGAGGATTCAATGTCCATTATAAATTATTCCCATGCCTCAGAGCTAGAAAAGGTTCACAGAGAAGAAATTCAAAGCAGACTCTGCAATCAAGCGCCATCTCTGAGTAGACCCCTAGGCCTCTCCCACCACACCCACCCTTCCCAGGAGAGCTAACAGTTTCTTATGATTGGACACACACAGCTCCCCCGCCCCCAGCAGTCCCACTGCTGGCATCTACAAGGTGTTCCAAAGGCCCCACGAGACCAAAAACATTCATGTCGTATCAGACATTCTATTTATAATACACCCTCTCTCTACTGCAGGATGAGCTCTAACTCTGTTCCCACTGCCCTCCACAAGGTCCTTACTATCGCTCCCTTTAACTCCAATGACAGTCTAACTGCAGGCCTCATCCCTGCAGTTCAACCTCTGTGTGCCTCTAGAACGGTCCTTCTAAAATGCAAATCCACGTCACACAATGGATTAAATTCCTGCAATGCCATCCCATCACTACAGGATCCAGTCCACACTTCTTAGGATGGCTTTCAAGGCTCATCACTCTTAGGCCCCTGCACCTCTCTGGCTGTCCTCTCTCTACTTCCCTCTATACACTCTCCTCTCATTGAGGCCTCACTGCAGGAATGTCCAGGCATCCTCCAGCCTGCTCGAGCTTGCATACATTCAGCCTTTTTCTTCAATGGACCTTCATGGTCTAGTCTAGCTGATTTCTACTTACCCTCCTAACAGCCCACAGCCCTCCCTGTCCCTGCCTCACATGCCCTGATTCCCTCTTTTCTGCACTGCCCTGGTCATACACATGCTTCTAACATTTCCCACATGATGAAGCACTCAACAGCATGTCTGTCTTCTGAACATACATGACACAAACAGAGAGGAAGGAGCACATCTCTCTTCACTTTGTCTTCCCAGTGCCTAGAACGGAGCCCGGCACACTGTCAGTGCTCAGTGTTTACTGAACAAATAAAACTCAACAAAGCCTAACAGCGAAGGCACACAAGTACTGTGAAATTGCTGTTGAAAAGTATCCCCACTCCCAAGAAGTTTTGCCAATTACTTTAAACGGCTTTGTGCTCTGCAAGGAACTTTCCTAAAGCTACATCATGCAGGCATGTGCGAAGTGTCGTACCAAGCGCTTGCCTGCCTGCCCACGCCCGCCCTGCTGAGCTAACAGCGTCCATTACTGATAGAGCTGGACACGATGTACAGCACAGATGTGACATCCTGCCAGGCAGAGGGGAATCAGCACCCTGTTCAGATTACCGGCTGTACCACTGAGGGTAACAAATGAAGTGAGAGGCAATAGAGAGGACAGATAAAGTGCACAGTCCTCTATCATTAACGTCTGTCTGAAGCCAGTACATGCTACTGTAAAATTTAAGTAGCTTATCAAAATATACTGATAAGCAACTTAACTTTTCACTTCTATGACAGTATTATCACTTACATTAATATGTTTCAATCAGCTCTGGCAGCTGCATATTGACTATTAGAGAGCAAATGCCTGCTGCCACTTTACAGAGCATTTACTTTGGCAGAGCAATGTAAACATTCAAGAGGGATTAGGGAGGAGATAAGTTTCTCCCTTCCTATTCTGTTAAATAAACCTCAGCTGAGTTAAAAGCCATTATAGTAGAAACAAGAAATCCCTTCAGAAGAAAACTCTTGCACAGATTAGAGGGCTCTTGGTAAACAAATTCAACCAAGGATTACAAATATTTTTTTCCCCCTGAAAGAAAAATACCACTAGTTAAATCCAGCAACTGAAAGTCAGGGGGGAGCGTGGAAAGGCCAGAAGAGAAAATATTTCCCTGCGAGGAAACCACGGCATTGAGTAAATTAGAAAAAAGCTGCACTCGTTTTAGGAATTCTTGATGAAATGACAGGGGCAGGCTGGGTCCTCTGATAGTTTAGGACTATAGTAGACATCGAAGCAGCTTGGGACCAGTTTGGCTGACTGACACGGCTCCCTCACCTGCTGTGAGGACAAAGATGGTAACATGCATGGAGCAACCTGGCCTGCAGCAGCCTGCGCTCAGGTTCTCACGCTCAGCCTCACCCAATCAGTTCTTTGTGGCTCTGCTAAACAGACCACTGGCCACAGGAGGTTTGTAGTTACTCTGGAAATCAGCCATTTCTTTCTTCCTTTGGCTTGACCGGACACAACTGTTCCCCACATGTTGTCCCCTGTGCACTGACAGATGAGTATCTAGTGATGGCAGTGTTAAGGTTTTGAAACCAAACCCCAGCTGTCTTCTTCTTCAAAGGATCCCTGTTTTCCCCTGTTGGGAGGCCAGGGTTCACAGCTGAGCTTTATCCAGTGGTGTTTCCTGTACTGCTTCATTAGTGCTGGCACAACAGCTTCATGCTGCCTGCTAGGCCGCAGGTGAGGACACGGAGCCCCTCCACTCCATTTTGTGTGTGTCTGTCATCATCGAGTAAACAATACTTCCCAGTCCAAAGACAGGAAACAAACACTCCATTACGCTGCCCCTCCCCGGACATCTAAGGGGCTCAAACATCTCTGGTCCTGCTCTACTTGCCACCTTTATGCACCGCTTGAGTTCTTGCTGCACAGTATCACCGAGTGGTGGACTAAGTCCAAGGCTGGGCCAAAAAGACAAATAACAAATGGTTGCTGCACTCAAGAAGGCCATGGCCCAGTCAGAAGCAGACACAGACACAGAGAGAGTAATAGTTTGGGTGTGAGGAGCTTGAAATCTTTCCCAAGTGCTTTATTTAGGTTAGGCATTTGGATTGATTTACAAAACTATAATGGAGCATTACCATGACCCCATCAGCAGATGGAAAACAGCCCGCTTGCCAGGCACTAGCCGGGATCCAAGCTTCTTTTACCGATTATGGCTCAGGTAACTTTGTCCCAGGCCTAACAGCCAAATGGAGAGGTTTTTGTTTTGTGTGAGGCAACACGAAGTTTTAAACCTTAGATGAGCTCAGATTGTACCCACAGTATTCCTACACACACTGACTCACTAACATGGGGCCCCACAGGCCCTTGGAAGTTGTGCAGGGACAGATTCTAAAGATAGCACTTACGGTGACAATGGCCCATGGCCAAAATCACCCTTAAAAAGCTCTTAAATTGCCCCCAGAGTACAGTGGACATGCTTTGTGTAGACAAAAAGCAGTTGGTCTGAGTCCGGGGGGGCGGGGTGGCATGCTGAGGGAGAACTTTCTATGTTTAAATCTACCAGCTTCGTGAGCTGCTCACTCTCAAGCTGAACTCAGGAACTAAGTTCGATTTAGGAGGGCAGATGACTCACTTTTCTAATGTCACTCCCCTGAATGGACTGTCAGGATAATCATTCCCACTGGGGTGTAGGTGTGTGTATGCACATATGTATGACTGACCTTGTATAAGTTAACTATCTATATGATGGGATTCCACTTCATTGTCTTAAGTATTAAAGTAGAAAAACACAAAAAATGTTTAAAAGCTCTCCCCCTTCTCTTCCTAGAGGTTTAGTTCCAAGCCATGGGATGACCCCAAGCAAGGCAGGTGTGTGTGGGTGGTGGAGGGCAATGGTGGCAGAAGAGGGGTGGTAGAGGCCAACCTGGGAGAATGGCAGACTGCAGCAGGATGTCAGAGCTCAAGCGAGGAGAGGGGGCTGTCCTCCTGCAGGGCAGCCTGGCATAGGATGTCAGAGTCCAAGTGGGATGAGGAGGGCAGCCCACTCAAGTGTGATCTGGCATCATGTGTTGAGGCCAAAGCAGGGGGAGGACTTCCTGGTAAGGCAAAGCCAGAGCCTGAGCAGGATAAAGTGAGTGTCCACACAGAGTGGCCAGGCATGTGCCAAGCCAATGGGCCTCCCCTTTACTCTGTCATCAGTGGGAAAACAAAGGGACAGTTAAAGAGGAATAACATCCTAAGGATGAGTATTTAGAACCAAGGAGAAAGTGATTATTTCCCCCACCATCTTAACCCGCAGCAGAGCCCAGTAGATTTAAGCCTGATCAGAACCAGTGTTCGCTTTGCTATCTTAAAAAGAAAGTCTTAGACAATAGTCATCCACATAATTTGAAAAAGATCAATATAATATTGGGGCTCTAAGTAATTTATGATAAAATTTAACATGTAAACATTCAAGCACCATTATAGTAGAAGCGACAATGAAGTGTGCCTCCCTAGGAAGGACGTGTTGCACAGCTGCTCCTACCCATGTCTGGGCTGATGAGTTTAAGAAAGAAAAGTGGCATGGAATAGCGTCTGTCAGTTGTTTTGGGTGACTTTCTACTGTCTGAGGAGCTCTTGAAATTCCACCTTGGGTATTCAGAGAGATATCCTTCCTTTTCATACTTCCTTTCAGCAGAATTTGCCAAGATTCATCAGACAGCAAAGCATCCCTTGTTTAAGGGTGTTTGGCATTCAGCTTTCAAAGCTTTCATATTAAAAAAACAATCCCAAAATTTTAAAAAGCAGAGCAGCATGGCATATGCTGAGGAGAACACAGACGTGAGTCCAATAACCCTGGCTATGAATCTTAGTTCTGTTACTTTCTAGCTGTGACACCTCGGTAAAGCAGTCTCTCAAAGACTCAGTTTCCTCCTCTATAAAGAGATATACAACACCTTTTAAAAATTATTATTAGCATATTCATCATTACAAATTGCAATCTTTCTCCATGCCTGCACCCAACCTATCACTCCCCAACTCCCCCTCCCTCCCCCACGATCTCGCGTCCTTAGCTTTGTTCTCTCCTGTTCAATGTATTACTGTGGTCTTTTCCTTCTTTCCTTCTTTTCTTTCCTTTCCTTCCTTCATTCCTCTCTCTCTCTTGTGTACCTGATTA